TTACAAGATCAATACTCAAGAATTTCACCAAAATAGCAATTAATGAAGAAAATCAAAGTTCAACCTATATTCTTCATTTTCGAAAGCTCCAAATCATGAATCAAGCATCATAACAACTTAGTTAGGCTATAACCAATCTAAATACAACATATTACTAATATAATTCAGATTAGGTTTCATTGATTTCATCTCTAACTAGCTTCAAATCAAGAGATTAACCAATGAAATAGTTATACCTTAATTGGAGGATGAATTTGGCATAAAAATAAAGCAAAACCCCTTGAAACAACCTTGATTCACCCCTATGAAGCAAAAATCACCCTTGGTAGTAAGTTTTGGAGATGAGAGTCTGTTTTGGGTGAAAAAGAAGGTAAATAACATGTATAACCGACTTTTACGAGTTGGGACTGAGTTGACTCGGCTGAAAACTCGGTTTGACCACTAATCACTAAAAATAGCATAACTTTTCGCTCGGACCTTCGTTTTTGACGTGGTTTTCGCTCACGCATTCGTAAAGACATAATCTACAACTTACAATAGAAATATCTCAAAAATATCTTCCAATAAAAGTCAGTTTTTATGTATCTGTAACGTAGATATTGATGCTTTTGACCCGTTTCTTTCCAATTGTTTTACCCGGGGCCTCGTACGATGATTCCGACTATTTCATATATAGTTTATTGCATTCAGGTTTGCTTCCAAATTTTACGTTTTGATCACATAAACACGTATAAAGGGGATAATTACGACGTATTTGCGAAAGTGTATGTTACATTAATGGAGGATATTCTAGTAGTAGAAGATGAGGGCGTTCAAGTAGGAAATGTTGAGAGGATGTGTGACAGGGAAGGAGAAAAAGATGGTGAGAGTGTGAGTGGAGCTCAAAATGAAGAACATGCTCCTATCCCAGCGAAAACAATTAGCCGGGCACCCACATCTACTATCGACATTCATTCGTTGAATGTTGGTATTTAAACAAACATAGCTAGCCCAGCTACGCATTTGCACACCCCTCTCGGCCACTCAACTGATTCTCAACAACCAGTTGTTTCAATTTTTCATGAGGACTTAGCACAGAACCTATCTGCTTCTCATTCGGAGAATGTGGATATTGAAAATAATAGGCTTCTGCCCCAGCCTACGACATCGATTCTGTGCACCTCGAGTATAGAGCCCATACACATAGGTATACATGATTCAAGAGCATCTGCTGTTGAACTTGCAGTTCTTAGTGAACTTATGGGAACCACCAGAGTATAGTCTTTTGACTTACCACAAGGACAGGTCGGAAGTCCTACCAGTGCTAACATCACGCCAACACAGAACGTAGGCACAACAGTTTATTTAACTGTTGCTCCAACTGGCAATCTATGTGACCCAGGTGTGAGTTTACCCAACTTTGTGTCAAGGGAGTATCTGGACGGCTCCCTAAAGGATGTTCAAGATCACATGGAAGCGCAAATTCTAAGTTTGAAAAGGATGATGAAAGGAAAGGAGTCGATAGTTGATGAACAACCGTCTATGCCATTACCGCCTGTGCCTGAGCCTCCAAGGGTGCAAGATCAATCAGTGAATGAGCTTAAATCGTTGTTGTATGCAAAGCTGATGTCTACTCAAAATCCAGATGCAGCTGATGCAGACTTGGTTGGGCTTCTTCGACAACTTGTAGATGATAACCCAAATGTTCGAGCCTCAGAGTTTTTGGCCTTGCAATATGTAGTTGCTGCTAATTTCTCAAAATTTAGCAAGCTAATTACATCCAACACTCAAGCTTTGAAAAGTTCCATTGATGCCCTATTCGAAAGGGTATCGATCTCACAAGATACGTGTCACGCTTAAGCCACCTCTTTAAAACGAAGGCATGATGATCCGGACGATCCTGATCATCATGAGGGGGAGAGAAAAAGGCAGAGTTTGGTTGAGTCATCTGTTCATGTTGAAGGTGTTGAAAGGAAGCAAGATTCTGAAGCGGTTAACATTGAAAATTCTGTTCCATAAGGATCAAGGGAAAGGACTACAGGCCCGATAATAATTGAAGATGAAATAGCCATGGAGACAAATCCTATGATCAAGCCAATGGTTGAAAAGCCGGCGGACTCCACTGTAGAGACAAGGTTGCTTTTGAATTTGTCTGCCAATGTGGTCTTTAATGAAGCATTTTCTAAACAACTGGGTAGAGTTCAAGACTTCGGTGAAGATATTGATAATATTGATGAATCAATTGGAATGTACTTCGACTTTGAAGCTGGTATCAATGAAGAAGAACCAATCTTTCCATTTCAGGGTGATCATCAGACTTCTTCTGAACCTTCCACCGCAGTTGGTCATGATGCTTTAGAAACTCCGAGAACGGCGTATGATCCTACTAAGATTTTTACTAAGAATTACTTGTCGTTTGCAGTACGTGATAATGTTCTAGGTTACGACAAAGCACGAATTATAGAGCCTTACCAGGAAGACATCTACTTCGGTATCTTTCTTCTGCATCAGAAAGCTCTGAGCGCAGATAAAATTCTTGGGATTCACAAAGAAACCTTAGATTATCGTTTAGAGTATAAGTGCTAGGACTGAAAATCAGTATTAAATTGTATTCGTCTTGAAAGTTAAATATTGTCCATAATTGTAAAAGTCATCGTGTTTGACTTTTCTTAGATAGTTTGACTTTGACCTT